GATAAATTTCAACAGCTGAACCTTAATTTCCAGTACTTTCAAGCGCAGCAAAGTTCTTTGCTTAAAATAGACCGTATACTTAAAATTATCTGTTAAAAGATCAAAGAAGTAGCTTACAAATTCGATAATGAACACTCATAGTTGCACAATTACTCCGTGTTTATGTCTATGCATTTGATTATGTTTACATTTAGTCAAAGAAGGCTTTATTCTAAATATATATCTTGGCAAGATAGGATTTAACTTTAAGCAATCAATCCAAGTTGTATGTTTATTATTGGAAAAGATATTTCTGCGACAGTGACCTTAAGACGTTGATTGTCGACCTCCCTGCAATCAGAATTCAGCACTTAATACTTGACAGTTACAAACCTTAGCTATATGAAAGTTCAAACCTTTTCTGTTTGTTTGTTTGTCCTTAACTTAAACCTGTCGTGGTAATTGTTATCTCATTTAAGTACAAGGGGAAGTTTAAAAATATACTATCCTTCCTTATTATCCTCAAATTTTTCAAATTATGTTTTATCTTAATTTATTAACGTTACTCTACGCTTTCACCTTCATGTAAAATTTCCTGACAAGATTGCCCAGATACACCACATTTCTCAGATAACCTCTATCTTCTTATTACATTAGACAAATGCGTAAAATCCACTTATTTTGGGAAGACGGCTGTGGCCGCAAACTTAGAACTAAACGATACAAGTTCAAATCGCATAGATAGGTTGCAGGGTTTGGATCATAGATTTCTTGGTAGTATTGCTCACGTTTGGTGGAATCACCGTATGAGCAATGTTGAGATTAGGCGAAGAGTACTAGGCAAGACACGAAAGTCGGTTGTGAACCTTAGTCGACTGATAAGGCTTGGATATGTACTGTGCATACCGACTCACAGCCTACTGAGACGTGCCATGTTAGAAGTTGGGGTTCAGGGTAGCCAGACCTGGCGTCACTCGACGATCTCTTACTGTTCGTCTGGGCAATGTGGGGAGGTGTAGACTGCCTGCTAGGCTCACCGAATAAGTGGTTGAAGACTCTCGGTGATATAGTTGAAAATCAGTAACAACGGCGCAAAAGTGTTCACTATTAAAAGTCTTCTAAAGCGTGAATACCCTATCTAACCTTAATTTTTAAATTCCCTCCCCTTTGTCTAGTTTGACATCAGTCTTTTTCTATCCACCTGTTCTTTGTGCACTACTGTGGCAACTTGAACCTATGCACTTGCGTGCGAAGTTCTACGTTGATTTTATCAGTCAGTCAGTGACTAACACCAAGAAAGTGAAAAAATATGTTCAATATTACATGATATTGATGATAGGTCATGATTGAGAGTGAAATAAGAAACTGGGTTACGGCAGAATTCGTATCCGCAGCCTCTAGAGCTATGGCTTGGCACTCTACTTGATGGTATACAATCTTATCTAATAAAAATATATGGATTTGGGTGAATCTGTATCTTCTTTACATCTTCATCATACTTTACCATTATTAGATACTACCCTTCACTCTATGAACAAAACATACATCGAGTGGTTACATAAACTTGAATACTGACAATATTATCTGTACAGTTAATTAGTTTTGCGATTAAAATTTTGTTACAGTTTATTTCAAAAGCCTTCACTTAATAAATAGACGACATAAGGTTGAACAGATATAGGTGATCAATGAGACTGGTTGAGATGACCATAACAACTTGAAATCAATAAATAAATCCTCACAAACCTCCAAATTGAATTACAGTCTAGTGTTAGTTAGTGATTTGCTTCGAGATGAGATTTCCTAAAGTTATTAAGCGAAATGGTGACCAGTGGAGTCGACCAAGTCAAATATGCGAAGAGGTACTCAACAACGACACTAGATGGAGGCCGCGCTATATCGCAAACTAACACAAGTGGGAAAACGTGGATCACTAGATCCTGACTCAGTGGTAACGTCCTGACCGAGCCTGGAGGTCCAGGGTTCGATCCCTGGTGGGGTGATGAGTGTACACTGCTGAGTCACATTCTAGGACGAAAAGGCTGTCGGATGCTCCCAAACTTTCAACGGTTCTCGAACAGATGTCAACTAGACCGCGATGAATACCAACTTGAGATTAAAATTTATTTCATAGGATTTTGGTCGATAAGTAGATGATAAAAGGATCAACATAAATAGTGGACTTATCAATCAAACTGCTGGAGATGGTCATGGTTAGGCAGACTCGTAATACTGATGCTGCGTGATGAATGAAGAAAAATAAAAACCTGGTTAGAAGTGTGTTGGGACCAGGTTTTCATTTCATCTTCAATTATCAACCAGTATCCATATGTATATATTATTATTATTTGTCCCTTGGGTTCCTAGTGGAACATAGGGCTTCAGCAGCGCATAACCATTTCACTCTCTTATCTGCAGTCGTTTCAACCTGGCTTCACAACTACCCACAACCTCTCATTTCTTCCTAATACGACCTCCTCCATGTCACACTAGCCTCCGACACCCAACTCGTCGTTTCCCATACGGGTTCAACTCGATGACCTGGCCTAACGCGTGATGTCCTCAATCGGTCTTCTCAGTGTATGCCCAATCCATCTCCACTTTCTCCAGCATATTTGTTAGGCGATAGCTTCTTGGTTGATTCGTTGCCAACCAGCCAGCCAGCCAGACACAGTTCCTCCTTGCTTATTCTTATTATTCTCCCCATCTGATCTCATCTTCAGTATCCAGTGAGTGTAGGCGGCAGCTGTTCATGTCACGCATGTTTGTAGTTTGTTGGAAATGACTTTCGTGACGTGCCGAGTTTGTCAACCATCACATAGAAACACTGACTAACTTGACTGAATTAGTGTTGAAAATCCGGATGTTGTTCACGCTTAATGCTGAGTGCAATGAAATGCAATGCAGTGAAGCAGATCTCCACACTGATTTCCCATTAATGAAAGAAGGCCTGTCTTTCCGATCCTGGCTTTGACATCCTCACCTGTGCATGTGCCGCCTGTAGTTGAAACGATGCTATCCTGCCTAGGTAGGTAGGTAGGTGAAAAAGACAACTTCCTTCAGATTTCTCCCGTTCATGGTGATTGATGCTTGTCGTTGATGTTGTTGTTGGTTCAGTGTCTTCATCACCTCTACCTCTGTCTTCTATATGTTCACCTGAAGGAAGTCACGTCTTCACTCCCCTGTCTCGCCTCTTCTGACAACTTGTTGTCTGTCGTTGCCTGTAGATCTTCGAGTTTTTGTGACAAGACATTAGACAGAAATCATCATCATCATCGGCGAAATTCGAATCTTCTCCTAGGGTCTTTTCATCAGTCCAGCCACAATATGCCCATCTTCTCACAGCTCCTCACACTTATCTATTACATGATGCAGTCCAGTCCAGTCGACCACAATCAGGAAGATGATTGGTGATGATAGTAGGCGACAACCTTGTCCTACTCCTGTCCTCTGTCTTCACTTCAAAGGCATCACTCAGCTTTCCATTGTGAATCACTTGGCATCACTTAGCATCATGCAGCATATAGCATAGCATATAGCTGCTGTTGTTGTTGAATGAGGTTGATAAAGGTTTGTGGCACTGAGACCGTAGTGTTGGAGCAGCAGTTGACAAATTACTTCTCGATCGACGCTGTCCAAGGCCTTTCCAAAATCGATGAAGTTGAGGTTGAGTTGACTACCATTCTGTGCTCTATTCTATGATGATGCGTAGTGTAGTGTTGCAATTTGATCCGCACATGATTTGTTCTTCCTGAAGCCAGCCAGCCAGCCAGCCAGCCAACCAGCCTGTTCCGATAGTAATTTTGAATGGAGAGCATATTTTAGTGTCTCCAGGATGATGTGGCTTAATATTTTGGTTGGGGTGGATAGGGGTGGAGCATGATTCCACCCCAGCAGTTATTCTTGCAAAGACTTAGGTCTCCATTCTTTATGAGTCTGCTGATAAGGTAGCCTTTCTTCCAATCAATTGGCAGGTACCTTTCCTTCCTTCCTTTATTCCAGACCTTCTGCAATATTGGTGTGAGCATGTCCACTGCTGATGTCTGTGTGTCTGATTTCAGTGCTTCTGGAGGAATTCCATCTGGTCCTGCTGCTTTCCCAGATTTCAGTAACTTTATGGCGTTCACGACTTCATTCAATGTTACAATGAGACCTGAAATTATGACATAACAAATATTCAACGTACAAACAACTCACATCACCATGCATGACAAAAGGGCAAAGAAATGGAAATAACATAACCATAAGTCGCAGAATGTTAGGATGAAGATAGATTATGAAGAAATCTGTGGAACTGAGATCGATTCTCAGACATAATGTCGACTGCCTATGAACTGTAACGGGAAAGTTTAAATTTACCTGCAGAGCTCAGGCTGACACTAAGACATTGATGTCATGTATTCATCTGACTAACCTTTTCGAAAACTTATCCTGCTTTAACTAACTAACATAGTCGATGTCTAGGTATGCGTAACACATGTCACAAGCACTTTCTGTCGATGGAGTTTTACGATTTCATCTACTGGTTTACTTCTTTTATCAAATACTCTATCCTCGACCTCTATGTTCTGTACATGATGAATGCAATAGATGAAGCAAAAGCCATGGAGATTATTCCAAAACTCATAGCTTTCACATAATTTTTGTCTTTAAAGGCGCTTTATGTCATCCACACTCAAGGACAAAGTGAACTGTTGAGGAGTACACTCGACCTTTATTTAACATGGCAATCGAATATCTCGCCATCATAAGTAATGTAATCTGCCTAAGGGTATTGAGACTGTGTCATCTGGCGACTCACTAAGACCAATCTAACTTTACAGGAAAATGAACTGTTTACCAAACAAACTCAACCAATAAACTCTCTTTTGTCAAACGGAATATTACCGTAGACCGGTACCGAAGTGATAATTCACATTTAAAATATGAGAAATACATTTGAGTCTGTCTCATATTACTACTGAAGGTGTTTGGAAGCCTCTCTATGCTATCAGCATCTTTCCTTCTAACAGAACTACATCGGTACCGATTACCATTCATTTTTGCTGTGAAGATTGTTTTATATTAACAATAAAAATCCATAAAGAGCTTCAGGTAAATAACGAATAAAATCGAATTTTGGAGACTTTACATAACATATTCTTGTCCTTTTTTGTTAATAATAAAAATCAAGTAGACAAAATGCAACTTTTTAGAACACATTAACATCTTGTATAAAAAAACATTAAATGTGAACAGGTCGACTTCGTACAGCACAAAACGCATATATATTGTTCAACATTACCATACGCATGAGCTTGTGAACAGTTAGTTCAAGAGAGAAAAAACGGGAGAGAGAAAGCAAACGAGAGCTGTGAAACACATTGACCACTCCCTCGCTCGAGCGCTTATAGGTCATTCTATATGGTGACAAAAAATAGAACAGCAGTAAAGGGGAGGGGCATATAAAGTGGAAGAGAATGTAATAAACAATATTCGTATATGACATTATAAAGATGATAACATTATATTATGCAAATCGTACAGATGACGTACACACACACACGTGCAGATGAATACGGTGAAATAGGAACAGACAAAGAAGAATAATCTAGAATTCATTCACGCTCTTCGCTGCAAATAATCCTGGTAAAAAAAGTCATAAAAGTTATAGCCATTGTCGCAATTTGCTGAAAACATGAATCAGTTTGCATGTCTCTTGTCATAGTGATGAAGTTTACTTCGGATAAAAGACAAGGACGCATGAGAATCATTCTTATAAAATATATACTGTAACCTATGAGTTAGTATGTTGACCGTTATCCGGTGAGGCATACACAAAGTAATGTTGAATGGTGCTGGAAGCTCGTTACTTGTTAAGATTTCCTTTTGTTTCACAGAAAGAAAGAAACGCAATCGTGTACTGTGAAATATGACAATCAGAATTCAATCATATCAAGAAATACATAAGATCGATGGTGTATGTGTGTTTACATGACACACAATATACACATGTGTTGATAATGCAACTGAATCCGATGAACATTTTCTGCCAGATCCTGTCTTGATGTGTCGTCAATAAAACCTTTACCTGTTATAATGTTTATTTCTTCTAAACATCTTGTCGTAATTCGGAAAAGTGGAATACAGAGAACAGAACAAGGAGAAAAGCTAAAACGACGGATAGTTAAAGATATGCATTATAGAAGAGCTAAAATAAGTGAAGAATGGATAAGAGCATGAATTTTCTACTGAAAAAATTGCTGGTGAAATGATTATCGCAAAGCAATGTATGTAAATATAGCATGTGCGATACTACTAACTAAAATAAGTAATATGACAATAATGATCATAAGATTTATATCCATAAGAAGAGTAAAGAAACGATAACATTAGACGCTACAATAAAGCAATTGAGAAAATTCTGGATATCCATAAAATTAAACGAAATAATGATAATTTTGTTTTTATTTACAATGAACACGATAAATGATGAATTCAGTTCAAATGACATGAACAACAGTTGTACGCGGCATTGAATACACATCATATTTCACTCACAGTAAATGTTTCAATAACATTATGCATTAATTGTGTATGTATCGGTCACTCTTGTGAAAAACAAATATCCACTAGTGAGATGGAGGACAAAGATGACTGCAACAATCGTAAGGATGAGTAAGAGGTAAGAGAAAACAGACAGGTCAATAACATTCAATCTATAATTTCGTCGTAAATATAGGAATGAGTTGTCGAAAAAAACACGTTAAAACTCCTATCCAGGAACAGCTATAGGTCCCCTAGAATCCACTCACCCAGTAGCGTATCCCGTAAGGTTTCTTATATATATATTCAAAATGTAGCCTATTGTATTACAAAATGAAAATGATAATATAAAACGCTTGGGAAAAAGAACTCAGTTCATCTTTGATTAATTGATCATTGAATTTTGATTAGCTAAACGATCAGCTCTTTGCTTTACACTTTGCTTAAGTGCCAGTAGAAAAGGTGATAAATTAGTATCTGATTCTTCTTGTCCACCAGTGGAATCAGTTGTACTAGCAGTAGTAGTATCGGTAGCAAGTTGATTTACAGAATATCCTTGTTTGTGTTGACTACTGGTATAACACTGTTCAGTGAACATAGATGATGGTGGTGGAGGTGGTAGATCAAATTCATCATATCTTACACATTCTTTATTATGTTCATCACTGACATCGGTGCTAATAGGATTTGTTTTCGATGGTGAGAAGCGGATATCATTTGTACGCGCTGCAAGTTGTTGTAATTGAGACGACAATTCAGACATGAGATTAGCTGTTTCTACAGAGACTAGATCTGATGATGCTGCAGACTTGACTGTGTAACCTGAGAAGATAGTAATACGGGGGTGGGGAGAGAAATCAGAACAATAATAACAATCACTAAATAGATGGTCATTACAACAATCCAAGTAAAATGGTAACCAATTGTCGATCGGCTTGATGGAAAAAAGCTAGTGTACCGACATTTATACAAGGTAACATTTGGCAAATACACCTAAGTAACAATAATCAACCATTCTTTTATATATATATATATATATATATATATATATATATATATAAAAGCGTAATTGGATATTAATTCGTGCTGATGACCAGGGAAGCAGATATATGTAAATGATCCAATGAAAAGTTACCTTAACAAAGGTGTATATGACTATTCTATAGTAACTTATAGTTGTGAATCAATTGTTAACAATATTGATTGATTATGAGTCTACATTTCTGTCATGCTTTAGACAACAGATGTTAGCAGTGTAGTGTTTACATTGCTAGACTGAACTAGTCGGTCTCAGATGACATATTGGCTGCTTGTATGAATACCTCGATATTGCCTGCTTGATGGTAGTTGGGAGGTGGAGTTAGAAACTAACGCATTCAGTTGAAAAATCTTGAACAGGATGAAATGAATAGGTGTCCTACATTCCATCGCACAAATATAGGCGAACAGATGTTGAGAAATTTGACCCTGTACATCAACGGGCAATTACAAGTAACAATGAACGACAAATGGTGGTTATCGTGCCCCAGTAGATAACGTTTTGGCGTTTGAAGTGATAGGTGCTACCTTCCAGCCTCAGTGGCAACAACACCACTCACTGAAGTGCAGGTACATCCAACTGATGAGTCCTAAATTGAACGAACCCTGCGTCCTGGATTCCACTGCTATCCTCCAAGTAAACTTTAAGCAAATATATTCGCTAGATAAACCTAGAGATCCCGAGTTCATTTGCATAGATATCCTCAGTGTTTACCGGCAAATAAATTGATAACAAAACAAAAATAACTGTCTATATACCTCAAATTTAAAAAAATTTCTTTTTTTTGGTCAAAATATTGGGCATTCAACCAATTTGTAACCAGCTCAAACCAACTTCATCTTTTTTTCTTGGTTTACACAGTTAGGTATAATCGTTGACTTTGAAAGTGTAGTGTATAGAATTTAGACACAGCAAATGTGTAACCATTTTATTTCCCTCTTACTCTGAATAGACTACCATTATCAGAAATTGTGTAAATGCAACTAGGCAATGAGTAAAATTAGATGACAAACCGATTTCTCGGTTCAATGTAACGTATATCCAGCAAATATGAAAAGCCACATTAGAAAGGAAAATCTTCCACACTACTTAACTATACAAAAAGTATTTACAATCAGAAATAAGATAAAGTGACTAGTTTTTGTCACGAACATTGTATCCTACCCAGCATAACTATCGGGTACAATAGCAGTGTGACCTCCATAAATGACCACATCTGATTTTAGCTGAAAACAGCATAAAACTCGACCACCAGGTTAGTAACCAACAGGAATGTCAAGTCCTAAGTGTCAAACAAAGTCTGTCAATTAGTTTTACAAAGTGATCATCAGTCTAAGTGACACGACACTGTAGTGCTTTGACGTTGTTATATGTTATGAATTTGTCAGCAGGAGGCCTGGTACCTGGTTTTTATATTTCTCAGCCCTCTAAACTTTAGGAAATTCATGCTACCAGGAGAATTCAACCATCTACCATGCATCGTTCAAATTAGGGACTCTACCACAAAGCTATTCAGACCATACCTGATGCTCCGTATTAAAGTGAATTAAGTACAGAAATTAGTCACAGGACTATAAGAGAGTTACGTAATTTTGGACCACGGCGAAAGCAAAACTGTTTTCAAGGTTGCAGATACTCCTTGTTAATGAGTCCATGGGATCTCCGTTGACCAATACTCCTAACATCTAAAAAATTTCTGAATGGGTTTAACGTTCCTGTACCTATATCATATCCTTTATAAATTATGAATTCAAAAGAAACCGTTTTAAAATTTGTAACGAACAATCTTAGTAGATATTCATTGGCCTGTAAACTCTTTACAAATGAACGCGAGTGACTGAAAGTCAGGTGACAACCTCAGTAACACCTACCAAAGTTTGTATAACCAAGTAACAAGATTAGTTGTCAATAAATACACGGACCTATATGGAACTAATTAAATTCCGTTTCCAGACAGAATGACAATTAACTGTCTGATACACACCAGGCATAAAAACGATTCATTTACATTCATTAGTCATTACAAAATTACCAATGTCATGTTGCCCAGTCCTAAGTACTCAGCGAATTCTATACAGTATTTTGTTAATTATGCAACTATCAAGCTAATAGATTTGTCATCACAGTGCATTTCCACTGATATTAGGGGATTGGAGACTGTCAACAGGAAACCATGTTTAATCTAAGTTTCGTGAGGTGTATCAATCTCCTTAGAGGTTTGCACCTGAGTTAACCATTGCCCATAGTCAAAAACGGTGACCCTAAACCATTCACGTCAGAAGTGAACTCCTGTAGGGAACGGGTGATATATAAATGTCTATAAACGTTGTCCCCTGTACACTTTTTCAGTATGCCTTTTATTTTGCACATACAAACAACTCTAGTGTACATAACGAAAGGCTTCGAAAATAAAAAACACTTAGTTTTTTCTTTGATATGACTTTTACTGTTTTGAAAAGAGGAGGCGGAAGATGCTAACACTGAAACATATCAACACGCCAACATATTCAGATATGATGATTACAGTTAAAGGGAAAAAAGGGTTATATACCATGAACCGCACCAGTAAGAGTGATAAGTAATCCATTTATTTAGTGTATTTCAGAAAGAATAGGCTTCTTTCAAAGCAAAAACGTTTAATTATTCTTTTTTTCCCGTTAGTTTCGTGGTCTTTTGGCCCAGGTGTTTGTGCAACCACTAAAGATTCGAATTTGAGTTAACCAGTTCAACTGGCACATGGTAACGCTCCAGGTGCCAACATCCAACCTGAACATGAATAGGACGTAGATATCGGTCCCCCATATCTCACCGAAGTTGAGAAAGCCGAATCGGGCGTGAAACGATGCAAAACACCAACAGCATCTGATAGTTTGCCACCTCAAGTTTTCAAAAAATGGCGGTAAGAAATTGCTGATTAGAGTCACGGAGGTAGCAAGTAGTGGATGGAAATCAGAAGTAGTCCCGTCAGAATGGATACTTCACTGATGATTCTACTCTATAAAAAGAAGAGACCTTCTGGTGAAAACCGTGGAGGAATTAGTTTGACTAGTATCGTGTCCAGTTATCCGACATCTTACTGGAACTCGAGAAAACCAAGTATCTTTCGGACCTGGACGAAGGTGCACCGACTATATTTTCACCCTGCGAGAAGTCCGGGAACACAGACATACTTATCAGCGGCCAACACTAGTCATATTTTTTGACCTGAAAATAGGATTCGACTCTTCAGACCACGAGGTGTTGTAACAGTGTCTGAGTGTGAAAGACGTACCGAGTAAATTACATAAGGATAATCAAAGCTCTCTAATTAAACTCACATAGCCGTGTTAGGGCGTATGAAGAGTTTTCACCAGAATTGACTGCAACCAGTGGTATCAGTATGCATCAGGGATGGCCCCAGTCACCATTCCTACTTAAGTTCATCAAAGATATGTTGATGGATATAACCGTAGGTATCTTTGAATTGATCTATTCCTCAGTGGGTACATGGTTGACTTGGAGCATGCAGACGACATTGTCTTGCTTGATGAAGACGCTAACGAAATGCAGCATTTTCTGAACGTATTGAGCAGAAATCTGAGTATGTTTGGCATGCGTTTCACACTTATCAAGTGTAAGATGATGCTCCAGAACTGGTCTGCAACTACTCCCAGTTTAATAATAGGGAGCGAAGTGGTGGAATGTGTCAAACTTTTCACTTATATGGAGAGGTGCATCAGCCCAAACGGGCTGGTTGCTGACGAAATGTCTGTTCGGATACAAAACGTCCGTTTGACATTTGCCAACTTGTGCCAAGTGGCGAGTATAGTGCACTGCAGTCCGGTCTGTCCTGTTATACGTGTGTGAAGTATGGTGGTCAAAAGTAGAAGATATGAAGCGGTTACAGGGTTTTGATCACAAATGTCTTCGTAGCATTGCTTGAGTTTGGTGGAATCACTGTGAGAGTAATGTTGAGATCAGGAGAACAGTACTAGCCAAGACAAGCAAGTCGATTAATGAAGTTGTTAACCTTAGTCGACTGAGGTGGATTGGATATGTGTTACGGATACCTAGCCACCGCCTACCTAGACGTGTCATACAAAGGGAAGTTGGATTAGGTTGGAAGAGGGTTCGGGGTGGCCAGTTTAAAACGTGACATCAGTTCATGAAGCCCCTGACTCTTGGTCTGATTCCTATAAGGAGGTGTAGACCATCTGGTTGGGGTCACTGAGACAATAGGAATCAGTAGTTGAGAACATTTTGGTGATATGGCTGAAAATTGGTCACACTGGGGCAGATGTATTCACTCCTTGATGTCTTCTAAAGATAGAATGTTTTCCCTAATCTTCATTTTTAAATCCCCTCTTTCTCCACACGACTTTGTCTACTTTGATATAATTTTTTATGCACTTGTTGTTTGCATACTACTGTGAATTGTGTAGCGACTTGAACCAATGCACTAGTGTGCAACATTCCACGTTGATTTTGTGTGTCGGTCTGCAATTAGAAAAATTACCACTAAACTATTAAAAAAGCCACGACTGATAGACAGTAGAATAAGACTGCATACACTGATTGGTCATTGGAAAGAATAGTGAGGCACAGCACCAAAGTTACACAAATCTTTTAATCAACCGTCTAACATCAATCGAGTTGCACAGGGACGATTAGCCTCCTCTAGCTTGTTGATTATATTACAAGATTTTGGATAGAATTCAGTCAGCACTCAAAATTAGACAGAGTGGCCAGTTAATCTACTCAGACAACAAAAGGAAAATTATAAGCGGTTAGTTAAAATTTCACGACAGTGTGTGGTTAACCCATTCTAAACAACGAACGTTCTTCAAATCGATGAGAGGAAAATCGTTCTTCCTCGATACTTTCCCACTTAGACAAAAATTTACAACCTTGAATGTGTTTACCATAAAATAAATAACTAATTCAACTAGTTTTCAATTTTAATTACTAAATAAACCAATCAAAAGGTAGAAAGATGTGTTCGGTTGTAATTCAGACAAAAAGAGGCAACTAGATATTCTAGCTATCATCACACAGTCACAAAGGTGAATATCCCTGATGACAGGGAGTAAAATATACAAAGCAATACATGATTTTGTTTTATTTAGTTTAGTAAGCATTTTACAAAAGTGCTATGCAATTGGCTAATTTTACATGATTTTAATCCAAGCGTGAAAACCAGAGAACTACTATAGAGTGACCGATAGAAAATGTAGACAGACAGTTCATGATTGGAAATACAAATATATTCTATTCATGAATGATCTACTTAATTGATCAGATACCTTGTGTTGCTCAGTTAAAGGATATAGGATACATCCTAATTTGATATCCATCTCTAGCATAAGCTTCCGATGTGATGAACGAATAGTGGTAAGCGATCAACCTAAATCCATCATCAACCAATGAGAGATGTATTGTTTATCACGTGAGTAGAGGATACAATACCTCAAGAGCCATGGTTCACTGGTCTAAGCAGTTGTCTTTCAATCAACTGACCAGCGGTTTCGAACCTTATCTCATTTATTGCAATTTGGACAGCCAAAAAATATCACGAGCCCTCATGAACATCACAATAATATGAATCAGTTTCTTCTGACCATTTCAATTATTTTTATATTTACTGGTAGATAGATCGCCTAATTTTTATTTTTATTTTTAAGAAAGCCATTAACTTTGAAATCGGCTCCACTAGACAATACACGTCTTGCTTTAGAGACTGTATTATAAAAATACAACTAAAATCAAAGTCTGAATATCAGTAGTAAAGTTACTATACGACCACTTTCTAAAGCCGAAATGGCTGAAATATGTAAATAAATATTATAAATACCACGGTGAAGATCTGTGATAGAATTAAATCAGATAAACACTGAGTCAACACTTTATTAATTATGATCAATGTTTTTCGTTTTTTTAAACCACCAATTCAATTAGTGTTATCAACAAAATGAAATAAAACTTAAAAGATTGAACAAATCCATTCAAAAGATGATATTTCTATTATGGTTAGTAACATATTCTCGAAAATATATTTTGATACTCTCCCAATAATCATCATTAACTGGATACAGCTCCATTTTCAATTGGGTGTTCATGTACCTCAAGAGAAAGAACTCAGTAGGAATTGAGTCTAACGTCAAACTACTGATTTCTGCATAATTGTTAGTTGTTACTTCACAAAACCGAATCGATCAAGTAACGGTAGTAAATAGGAATATGCTTACAGATGCCCCAACTTTAACCTAGCTACTGAAAGAAACAATATTCACATTAGGATACAAATATAACCACCACCAGACAGAACCAAGCCGAAACACGTACTGAACTTCATCACTACTACACATAACAAGATAATGTACCTGAATATATATATATATATATATATATATATATATATATATATATAAGTAGTATTCATCATGGACTGACATCAGTTGGGGAACCATTGGAAATCTGGGAGCACTGGAAAGCTGTTTCGTCCTAGTGTGGGACTCCTCAGCAGTACGCACCCACGACCCGGCTAGGGGTCGAACTCAGGACCTTCAGGTTTCACGGCGAACGCGTTAACCATTCAGCCAATGGGTCGGTTTCTAGCGGTTCACAATCTCCAACTTCTGTCAATTCACCACATAGCGCGACTGTCACCCAAGGTCTTCAGTTAGCATCCACTTCACTTCTGACTGGTTGACCCCACAGGTCACGGCTTCTCATTAGAACTTCCTAACATCCATCTGGAAGCAAGTCACTAATGAGCAGAGCACTAGAGAGTAATGTATTTTTGAGATGAATGGGGATTTTTAATTTTTAATCAGTTGGTTCCCCAACTGATGTCAGTCCATGATGAACACTACTTCTAAATTAAAAATCCCTATTCATCTCAAATATATATATATATATATATATATATATATATATATATATATATATATATATATCAAGGCAAAAACCAATCAAGTTTGTAATGCCGCTGATTCATATGAGCTGTAGATGACCAACCAGTAATGCTTGTCAGTCAAAGACCGAGAAACCTGCATGTATTTGCTATGATTCCAGATATTACCAATTTGTCTAACTAACCGGTTAGTTTTCAGGTAAATTGGGTGAATTGTTTCTATAACGTCATTTATGAGCTTAGCACCAAAGTAGCAAAATGACTGTCCAGTTTGTAGATCACTTAAATCTGGCTGGTAAACACCACTGGTTGACAGGAATAGCTACCAACTACTCACGTCAATTAGTAGTCTATGTCGTATATTTCTTGAATCTGTTTTCTTGATGTCTAGAAAACCAAAACTTGTGGTTCTGAAAAATTTGGTTGCCCAAGTCACCCATACAGTGCAACTTTGACATCACATTGAGCTTATTTATGTTATTTTCACCATGGACTTTGAATCTTGCAGGAGGGGACCAATCAAGTACTGTGAACAAAGAGAGGGATATCTTACACTACTTATTATTTTAATTCTTAAATACCATCTTTGTAGCAAATTTATGTCAGTCAAGTAACGAAAGAAATTCAAAGAGGATTAAAAAAGCCATTTCATTATTCATCAGAAGCTCTAAACAGTTAGCGCATTAGCCTTTATTCTACTTGACAAAACTTCAACGGGTAATATTCCCAACATCAACTAAAATGTTTTTAAAAAAATATAACAAAAGTGTCAAATCTTACACGGTGAATTTGAAGGATTCAATTCAAGTGATGAATGAGAAGACGGAACAGTTGGTTTTGACAATTGATTTGAAAAAATGGGAAGTGGAGGAGGAGGCGGAGGCGGAGGTGGTGGTGATGTTGACGACAAATTCCCATTGGATATGTCTTTTGTTTCATATCCAGTATACGAATTAGCTTGATTATTGATACAAACTTGATTACTGACCAATGTAGAGTGTCGCATAAGATTGGACATTTGACTAGCAGAGCATTGAGATGAATTTTTGACCACAGGAGTTGCATAGTGTAATTTGTTCTAAAGACAGATGTAATGTGCATTTGATGAACATGTATAATAACTCATAGAGACAAATTAATGAAATCAAATACATTTTCATCGATGTTTATTCAAAGAAATGGCAGTAATGAATGAAACTTAATGAGCAGATGTTGAAATTCATTCAATAAAACTATCTAGATGGGTCAAAATGGAGGGAAATACATGCACCACGTTACTAAGAATTTTCAACTACTGGTTCTTTAAATTTTGAGATTTCCAGATAGGAAGGTCACACTTCACCGGAGTTACAGACTTCATAGGATTGCCATACGTCTTGATTTGTAGACTCGTAGATTCCATCTTTCCAATCTAGTAGAGTATTGTAGTTAACCCACTGTATTGGGATAGATGGTGATTCAGCGTGCGTAACCCATTTCCCATCTGATCAGTGAGCATACACAGACTTATCAAGCATCTCTCGGTAAAACTCCTATGCTTAACCTCAAAGTTGTGCGAACTGTGGCTCTACTACAAGTGGAATTTGTATTGAAAACACCTGTAACCTGTTCATATCATGATCTAACTTTAACGGTTTATGAATCCCAATCATTGAGTAGGATGGGGTGGTTGTCGGCAGACAGGAAGATATTTTGTCAATGCTGTGGATACCGTTCATTGGTAAATGTTAAACAAGTCATTTGTACTTGTATGAAGGTTTTATCAGTGATTATTTTCGACACGATTCAGTTTCTACAATAAGTACAGTGGACAAAACATAGAACCAGAGGCCTGCCTAAACCTTGGACTTTCATAGTCGCAACTCCTGAAATAGCTAGCTCAAAGTGCAGATTTTCGTATTGAGTGAATGAACCACCACCAGTAAACTTGTGAACGCTTTTCTATTCATTCTCTCCTTCAGAATAGACGATAATCTGCTTAATGAGATGGTTGCTTCACATTATTGTCTGTAATACTTTGGTTGGAGCGAACAGATCGGCTACTACTGGTATATATGGACTCCTGTGCGGATGCTTCGATGTTGCCGGTATTTTCAAATCTGATATTAATAGTGGATACTGACACAAATGAAGGGTTCAGGTTTTAGAGGGGACAACACCATTCACTGGGAAGCAGGTACATCCAGCTGACGAGCCTCAATAGGACGAAACACGCGTCCACTGGTAGCCACTATCCGTCACTAAGGTGTGTAATACTGTTATTAGAAACACAACTGAGATACTGGACTCGTTTCGTTCAAAAATATTGTATGGAAAGTAAATTTATTGAAATATTACATGCTGAGGATTCCGTACTGTGCTAAACATATTATCTGGGGTAAAGTGACTATTATTATTATTGTCAATATAATTCAGAGCATATTAGAAACCGCTCAGTATTGTGTAACTATTTATGTGAGTGAAGGGGTCTACAGTCAAAATAACATTAGGAGATGAAAGGAAAGTAGAGCGTAAAGGGTGGAACGAGTCACAAAAGAGTGACTTTAAAAGCCACCCTGGCAACTCCTAAAGTAATCAACCAGGTTTTGGCTTTCCATTCAGAAAGTTAGGTTTCACAAAATAAAGAAACACAAGTGCTTATCTCCGCAGTCACTAGGATGGTCTTTAAAGTGACTCGTCACAAAAGACTTCTGGATCATTCGATCTCGGTGTTCTTGCGCCTTCTATAAGTTGTCACACAGGATTCACCATCGCCTTTTTATAACAAGTGTAGACGAAAAGTAAGAGCTTTTCCCAGGATGGATATAAATACCGCCAAAACGTAGATAAAAGACATGATGATACTGCATCATAAATTATTTGACTACCAGAACTCAGTTTATTGCACCAAAGATAATGTATTCATGATGAGACTCAACTATGATCAAGCCCATGAATAGTGTTGATTCATACCTATTTTATGAAGGCTGATAAATGACGAATCTGAGTAGATGGAGAGGAGGTTAAACCTGCAGCTCATTAGTTGAAAGCTAGTTGTCTGAATCATTGAACTAGATTAATACCTTGAAAAACCTTTAAAAATATCCTATGGTAAATTGTCCGTGGAGTTTCTTCAAATGAATCTGCTTTATAGTGGAAACTATATTTTGTTGGTTTCCAGGTGGCTTCCATCATGGATTTATAAGACGGGGTCAGACTTAAAGCACAGGCAGGCTTCAGGAAGTACAAATCATGTGCAGACCAAATTGCAACGCGACACTACGCATCATCATAGAACAGAGCATAGAATGGCAATCACCTCTCCACCTCAACTTCATCGACTTTGAGAAGGCCTTTGACAGCGTCGACCGAGAAGTAATTTGGAAACTGCTTCAATACTACGGAGTACCACAAACCTTTATCCGCCTCATTCAACAACTATATGAAGATGCCACATGCCAAGTAATCCACAATGGGAAGCTCAGTGATGCCTTTGAAGTGAAGACAGGAGTGAAACAAGGTTGCCACCTACTATCACCCATGATATTCCTGATTGTGGTGGACTGGATCATGCAGCAAACAGTAGGCAGCGAGAAGAGGGGGATACACTGGACGACGGAAAAGAACCTAGAAGACTTGGATTTCGCCGATGACTTATGCCTAATGTCACATAAACTTGAAGATCTGCAGGCAAAAACTAACAAGTTGACAGAAGAGGCAGCTAAGACGGGACTTCAAGTGAATATAGAGAAGACAGAAGTGATGAAGATACCGCACCACCACCATCAACAACAACAACAAACTCCAATCACCGTCAACGGGAGAAACTTGAAGGAAGTAACCTCCTTCACTTATCTAGGAAGCACTGTTTCAACTACAGGCGGGACGGACGAGGACGTCAAAGTCAGAATCGGAAAAGCAAGACAGGCGTTCATTAGCCTGAAACCAGTGTGGAGATCTTCTGCACTGCACTCAGCATGCGGAACAAGATACGGATTTTGAACACCAACGTCAAGTCAGTGCTCTTGTATGGCTCAGAGACTTGGCGCGTCACGAAGGTATTTCCAATAAACTACAGACATTCATCAACAACTGCTTACGCTCGCTGCTGAAGATCAGATGGCCAGAAAAATAAGCAACAAGGAGCTCTGGAAACGAACCAACCAAGAACCTATCACGCAACAAATATGCAGGAAGAAGTGGAGATGGATTGGCCATGCACTGAGAAGGCCGACGGAGGACATCACGCGTCAGGCCTCGAGTGGAATCCCCATGGGAAGCGACGAGTTGGACGTCCGAGGGTGACATGGAGGAGGTCGTGCGAGCAGGAAATGAGAGCTTCTGGGCTGTCGTGGGACCAGGTTCAAAAGATCTCAGAGAACTGAGTTAACTGGAGGCGTGCTACTGAAGCCCTATGTTCCACTAGGAACCCAAGGACTAATAATAATAATAATAATAATATAGACTTAAAGCAATCAGAGTCTTGTTGCGAACTTGTTATCATCACCCAACGGTAGAACAACCAAAAATCTAAATAATTTTATGCATAGACGTGGAAAAAAAGATGGAAGGATTCGACTAACCTCTAAAGATTGTTCACTGACTAGAGAATTCTGAGAGTAAGGCGGATTCGATGAGACTGATCGCCGTGCATTCGCATGATAACTTACTAGTGCTGGACTGCCATTAGAACTAGGCAGTGAATCATTAGTTGTTGAACTGGCCATTGTAAGAGATGAACCTCGACTGGAACCTGGACGAGATGACAAAAACAACATCACCGAAGAGAAGAAAAAAGAGTACATGGTCTCATTACATTCTGTCTATCAATGCAAACAAATGTATAGATTAGATATAATAGCATATTGCATAAAGACATCAAATGCAAAAACTACACTTGTGTGATTGGCACTGTTAGAGTGTACCCAGAAGTGTTTCACACTGACACCGCATATATGAACATAACTGTAAAAAAATTGTAGCACAAAAAAGCAGTTATGAGGCAGTACCACTTATTCAACTTATAAGTTCAAGGTCAAGCGTGGAAATTGAACATATTCAAACAATTTCACACAGTAAAACAAAAAATGAAATTTATGGGATTTTTGGAACTGATTCTTAAAAATGACCAATAGGACAATGAATCAATGAAAATCCCGAATAGCAAACAAATGTTTAGAGAGTTTGAAACCTGATCATATGTGGAAATCTCAAAGAAACCCAAAAGCTGACCACTAGCAATAAATAGTAAAAATAATTCGACTCACCCCGGTACACGCTTATGTACTAGGCTATAGGCCTCGTTTATCTTGTGAGGCTTGTGATAGGCAGAGATCAAAACAACGCGAAACCCTGAATTACTGCGCAACGCTCCAACTTGTCACACTGCATATCAACACATCGAGCAAAAGTATACCCAGATGGGAGATACAGAAATAAGCATGAGGGTAATCAAGGTGGCGGGGAGTCGTGAAAAAAGAACGAGGAGGAGCGAGACAATAAGAAGATTCAGTTTGATGTTCAAAATGAAGATAATATGTGCATACTCTGCAACATATCACTCAAAGTCCGCAACCACCAATTTCTGTTGTCAGGTGCACCCCAACCGGGAAGTCTACCTTCGCCTGCCTACACACCTCACACCAACAAACAACTAAACACTTCATACACCCATGCCATGTTCCGTTTCATTTCGCATCGCCATTTCCAACCTTTCTCCATCCTTAACCTACATCAGCTAAGATTGCGCGACGACGTGTGGGTGGGCACTGGGTGACTAGGCATGCGTGACACATGTCCCTGTCACCTGAGTCAATCAACGCTCACAACCTCATCAACTCACTTCCTCTCTACGCCTGACTTCTACGTTACTGATATGAGAGCTTATGATACTAACAGGCCCCAAAGGTAGAAGTAAGCAGGATGGAACTTGAGCGCAAGAGCTAGTGCATGAAAGTAAATGACATACAGTTTCAAAAGATTCTGATTATACTTCGAAATCTCTACCATGCTTTCAATTTGATCAACAAGATATGTGTAACAGTATATCACGGCATGAATAAAGTACAACGGCTTCAGTTTGCTTGAGATAGTGAAACCGTTAGTCTAGTAAATAATACCAGTTAAGTAAGTCAAATCACACTTGTGTCAAATAAGAAAAATAATCCATGACACGTTTCCACACGTCTTCAAAAAAGTGTAACTGAATCACTTGATTGACTAGAGCAAGATAAAACGTGTACACCACCTAAGGATTATAAGTTAAACGTAAGGTTTATGTAAACAACACATTTGAACTATGAACTAAAAACAAAGTAATGAAGAGTGACGCAAAAGGTCATCTTAGCCACAAGTGAAAGAAATAATTACATTTTATTTTATGAAAATTCGCTTTTCAAGCAGAAATAAAGAGATTCGATTGGAGATTTCAGTTATTGCTAGGATGGCCTTCAGAATCACTCATCATCATCATTATCAACATAGGACCAGGCATTACTGCGTAACGGTCCGAGTTGCCACACCTCATATCAGCACATCAAGTAAAAAGGTAGTGAGGTGAAGGATGAAGATAAGTGAATGCAGTCAAAAGAAATATAAAGTATGAGAAGAAAGGAAAGAGGAGTGACAAAATAGTGAGATTCGGTATAGCGTTGTTAAGATGAGGATAATGTGTGTATACATCTGCGCCACTGACTTCGGTTCTGAGCCATATCACCTAGGGTCTCCAACCACTGGTTCCTCTTGTCCCGTGGACCCCAACCACCTAGTCTGCATCGTCCTACATGGCTTAAACCAACAGTCAGAGACTTCATACATTGGTGCCATGTTTTAGTCTGGCCACCTCGGGCCTGAACCCACCTCAGCCAACATTGTGTGACGAGGCAATCGGTGACTAGGCATACGTAGTACGTGTCCCAACCATCTCAGTCGATGAAGGTTCACAACCTCGTCGACTGACTTACCTCTTCTCCCTAAAACTCTACACCTAACTTCTGCATTACTCACATGGTGACACCACGGAATACGTCCTATACTACGAAGGCAACGGTGGTCAAACACCTGTAACCTTCTTGTATCCTCCACTTTCAATGGCCATGTTTCACAGCCATACAGTAGAACAGAGCGGACTGCTGTGCAGTACACGCGACCCTTAATAGACAAACGAATATCACGGCGGCGCCATAGGTGGCGCAAATTGGCAAAAGCCAATCGAGCCTTTTGTATCCGTGCAGAAATCTCATCGGCAACTAACCCACCGGGTTGATCCTACTTCCCAGGTAAGTGAAGTGGTCAACACACTCAACCACTTCACTCTCTATTGTTAACCGCGGTACCGCTGAAGACCAGTCCTGGAGCAAAAATTTGCATTTGGGTGGTGAAAATCGCATCCCAAACATTCTCAAATTCCCACTCAAAGTGTTCAGAAGACTCTGCATCTTGTCAGCGTCTTCACCTAACAGGACTATGTCATCTGCATATTCTAGATCTAAGGAAAATTCACCTGTGATCGGGTCAACGTCTTTGTAATTAGGTGACGAGAGGGAAACCTCCATAAGAATATCTATGATAAAATTAAATAAGAATGGGGATAGTGGGCATCCTTGACGGACACCACTTGATGAGTATAGCTCCCTGGACAACTCACCATAGGCTCTAACATGCCCACAAGTGTTCGAGTAGAGAGCTTTCAATAAGGTGATGTACTTACTAGGCACGCCTTTCAGTGACAGACACTGCCATAAGACTTCTCGATCAACGGAGTCAAATGCCGCCTTCAGGTCGAGAAATACAGCTATTGTCGGGCGTCTGTAAGCATGCCTATGTTCCAGGACCTGGCGCAGTGTGAATATTTGGTCGATACATCCACGGCCAGGTCTAAAGCCTGCCTGGTTTTCTCGGGCTTGCTGTTCCCGAGCTCCACTCAGGCGTCGGAGAATTATAGAACTTAGGATCTTAGACACTATGTTTGTCAGGCTGATTCCTCTGTGGTTATCACAAGAGGACTTCTCGCCTTTCTTGAAGACTGGGATGATGAGTGACTTAGACCAGTCGGAGGGGATCGTATTTGATTCCCATATACTGGCTAACACTTCCGTTAGCCTGACTAAGAGAACTCTACCACCATTCTTGTATACCTCAGCAGGTAGTCCGTCTGGTCCTGCTGCCCTTCCCCGTTTCAGGCTACCTACCGCTTTCTCAACTTCTTCTAGTGTTGGGGGACCTGTCTCTATGTCCCATTCAGGGTCCGACTGGATAGCGGGCAGCGCAGTGGTGGCTGGAGGCCAGTTAAACTGTTCCTCAAAGTGTTCTGCCCATCGTCCCAGTCGCCTTCCCTGCGAGTGAATCGCAGATCCGTCCTTCTCCGCTATAACCTCACTAACTGTTGTTGACCATTTCCCCCCAGTCTCCTTAATAAGTCTAAATAACTGTCTACTGTTACCGATCGCCGCTGCCTTTTCCATCTCTTTAGCCTTTGCTGCCCACCACTGTTCACGATCGTTGCGCAGACTTTTCGTCAGTTTATTTTTAAGTTGCGCTCGCTCTTCATTGTACTCAGAGCCTGCAGGGATGCATTCACGTGCATCCATTAGTTTGGAAGAAGCTGCTGATATCCACTGGCTCTTTTTAGCCATTATCTTGGAGTCGGCTACAGTCTCCAGTGCTGCTTTTACAGTAGACTGAAGATGGCACCAAGCTTCTTCTGGATGAGTGACAGTCTTTTGTTCCGATAACTGCCTAGCCAACTTCTCACTGAACACGGCTTTGGTGTTTTCGTTGTCCAGCAGAACTCGTAGTGGTTTTGTTGCCAAATTTTTTCTACGTCCATTGAGACGCAGGCATATACGTGCTCGGACCAACGCATGATCGCTA